TCCTCATCCTCATCCTCATCATCACCATCATCATCATGCGCATCGTCATCACCAATACCGTCATCATTATCATCACCATCATCACTATCATCGTCATCATCATCATCATCATCATCGTCATCGTCAGTATGAGCATGAGCGTGAACATCTCCGTGCAAATCGGCGCCCTCAGCATCAGCGTCATCGTCGCCGTCATCGTCATCGCCATCACCACCAGCATCGTCAAATGCGTAAGAATGGCATTTAGCTTGAGGGCCAACTGAGCAAAGCATATTAAGCATGTTGTCCATCCAGCATACAGAGGCTGTCACGCAGTTCCGGGGTCGTGGGTAGGTGCTGAACCGAGGGGATTGGGACAAGGCTCAGACAAGGAGCTTGGATCGAATTTGTAACTGCCCAAGTCAATGTCAGAGACCCTAAGCCTTGACCTCAATGCCCAGTTCCGAAGAACCAAGCCGAAGATGCTGCCCCAGGCCGAGCCAAAAGTTGGCCAACGCAGCACCCGAACCCAGCATCCTGTTCCCGCGCGCCAGGTCCTCCGGCAGCTCTTTTGCTTCTGAGAGCTCCAGCTTTCTGGGCCTCGCGGCTGCACGTTGGCTCCAACACGCGAGGATCTGCCATTCTTCACAGGCCATGCCTGGCCTATGCCAGAAACCCTACTCGATGAGACACGCATGCCTTGTACTGCACATGCCTCTTGTCCAATCGAGCATCTGGGACGGGTACGGATGTGCTCCAAGTTAGATGGAAGACGACGCTGCTGAGGATCCACCATAGCCGGGTCCGTCGGAAGCCAAGTGCAGCATGTGATATCGTTGGCAGATCCGTCACTGCAAACCCGATTGCCCGCCAAGTTCCGAATCCGCAAAGACTTCATGTGTAGAGGCAAGGTTGATTCTTTTGGGGCAGTATTAGGGGGACAAGTCTCTTTGTCTTGCAGGGGCGTATTCCAGGTGACCTGGCTGACCTACCTCCACTCTGCCGGATCGAGTGGAAAACTGTTGTACTGAACTCTCGGGGCCGTTGGTTGAGCGCTTTGGCCCTCTAAGAATGTATCTGCCTTTCCAAGGTTTCGGGGTACTCCCACGTAGTCTTACATAAGTCGATGGTAGTATTCTTCTCATCATGTAGGTATGTGACTGCAATGCCCAGTTCTCGGCAGAATGAGGTCTTCTGAAACTCCATTGTGCCGAGGTTGCTGGGCGGTGGCCCGCAGTGGCCCGCTTGTAGATGTGGCCCGCACCCCCGCCCACAAACAAAAGTGGACACCTTGCACTAAATACTACGAGCTGGCTTCGCCGTGCACTGGAAAGCAGAAACCTACAACTCAAGAGCACATGCTCTGCGAGCCAGACAGGCGGGTGATGGATCTGCTCGTGTTTCATGCTCAAGCTGCAGCCACCCAAAGTTGCGCCCGAAGCCAAATTCTTCGGACCAGGTCACCGCCGTGGCGCCAGCCCGAAATAGTGGCAACTTGTCGGGTTCTCGGCGGCTTTGGGCGCACGAGACATTGGGAATCGGAGCTGTTTGATGGGCCGCGGACTCACGACAGGAGAATTTCGAGAGATGAGCTCAGCTGATTCGGCATATGTCCCATCCCGGCTGAGCTTGTGTGGAACAGAAGCCAAAGAAACAACAAGATCCAAAGAATGCAATACTGACATACTGAGTCCTGAGTGGAAGCCTTGTAGACGTACCACAAAGCATATAGTGCTCCGACATTTGAGCTGGGGGCAAGTGCGTACGCAGTTTGCTGACGGCCGTGATGCTCACGGAACGTGTCAACTCTGAGCCACCGACATGACCTTTAAAAAAAAACCCAGAATCCCTGGCAAGGTCTTCCATGAAGATGATGTTCGAGAGATTTAACGAGAAGGCCGCAGCGAATGTTGTTGGGGCTGCGGTTGAAGGCATGCAGGATATTGAGGCCGCGGATCTTGTTTGAATTGAGGTTTTCTTGTACTTGAGGCTTCTCGCTCAGAGAAAATTAGATGTGCGTTGAGTCATGCAGCAGCTATGTTATCCGTACAATGAGTTTGGTACTGTCGTGTCGCATGAGTACGTTCACAATCACGGTGCCGCTCGAGACATTCCATGACTGTGACCCTTTGTAGTTTTGTAAGTTTTTTGGTCACGTAGTTTTGCTCTCACATGCTTAGCAGCTCACTTAGATTTTTCCTTTGCAAGCCTTCGTCGGTCCGTGCCCCTTCAGCTCAGGCCATCAAATCCGTCATGCTTGCACAGGAGGAGTCGAGACGCCTGCGCACCGGGCCCAGCTGGCCGAAGGGTTTGAGTCCGCACCGCTGCAGAAAATTGTCATTGAAGACGTTGGGTTTTTTCTGTGACATCGAAGGGCAGGAAGCAGTGTGCTGGCGAAACTTCTAGGCGGCTCTGCCAATGCCGACTTGACATTCTGAATGGCAGAGCCTTTCCGAGTAACGGCACTATCATGAGTAGGCTTGGAGAGTTAATTCAGCAAAGGTGTTGGCATGGTTTCGGAAGATTTCGTAGTTCTTCGACCTGTGTGCAGAACACAACTACGTGGACACGGAGATGCTGCTTGTCGGTGTTGTCGCAGAGAACTCCTCCGTTGCGGCTAAAGTGATGAGGCTGGCAAGCCACCGAGGGTGGGGGGTCGAAATTCGTTGCAAGCCTTTCGTGACTTGTGTCCTCAAGCTCGACGGTGTGAAGACGCTTCTGGTGATTTTGTTCTCATGTCTCAAGCCCTAGAACCGGTCGTTCGCAGCCAGCTGCTTCCATCCCGAAGATTCGCCCACAGAATACCTCGGGAAGAGAGGTCCCACCAGGACAAGTGAAGAGAACATGAAGCGTAGCACGGTAGTGGTAATGATGATGACAGCAGACCACCATCATCAGCACCGACGGCAAGCAGCAAGCAGCCAGCAGCAAGCACCAAAAACCACAATTACACAGACATTGAGACTTTTGCATTTCAGTAGAGCGGAGCTCGCAACAGACCGAACAGCCCAGTGCGCATTCGAACGCGGAAGGGTTCTGCCCTTCTTGTTTGTGTGGAAGGGGGGGGGGAGAGAGGGAGATACATATATGAATATATACATATATGAATATATACATATATGAATGTATACATATATGAATATATACATACATGAAAATATACATATATATATATATATATGTATATGTTCATACATGTGTATACATGTAAAAATAATATGCATGTGTATATGTACATGTTTATGTAAATGTTTATGTGTATGTACATTTACACCTATACGTATACGTGTGTGTATATATATATATATACATACACGGATATACATATGTATTTATTCGGTTATTCGGAACCACGACATCATAATGCTTAACCATTCCAAAAACCATCCTGCCGCGAGGAAGCTGAATGTCCAGCTGAAGGCCGGCGGGAGGTCAAACGATGTTTGACTTTGGTTTGTGAAAACGTGTTACTGGATGAAACCCTCCTGTGTTATGGTCCCGTGAGCTGAGCAGTCCATGCCCCAATCACGTACATGGGCCACAAGACAAAGGGCAGTCTGAACCGTGCTCGTCTTTGTCGCAGCAGTCCTGTTTTAAGCTTCATCCCTTGTGCTCGTCCCACTCCTGATTCTTTTTTTTATATTGGGGAGATGTCAGTCGTCTACGTGCCACCTGTGCAGGATGTCAAGAAGTTGGTCGAGACTGAGCTCGGCAAGGGTGAAGGGCCTGTCTCCGTCCGGGCACCTGGTGTCTACGGTTTCAAGCAAATGTGTTTGGTTCTAAGTCAGGCTCCGAAACTCAGCTTAAGAAATCAGCTCCTCACCCTTCTCCTCACCCTCACCCTCACCCTCACCCTCACCCTCCTCCTCCTCCCATTCCCATTCCTATTCCCATTCCCGTTTCTATTCCGGTTCATAATGATGATGATCATCATCACCATCAGCATCTCCATCATCACAATGACCATCACCATCATCATCGTCATCGTTATCGTCATCGCCATCGTCATCATGTTCCTGATCACCAACACCATGGCCATCTCCATCGCGATCGCCATCGCCATCACCATCATCTTCCTCATTACCATCACTTTCATCTACCACCTCACCATCACCATCACCATCCGTGTCAGTGTCAGCGTAAGCGTCACCGTCATCGTCTGCGATGAGAAGACCTGAACACCTCACAAACCCGACGACCTTGTCGCCAGGTGGAGATCCCCTTCACACCCGAAGCCAAGACCATCCTCGAAGCTTCAGTGACAGAGGCCGGGTTCATCGGGTTTCTGTTGACTTAGGTAGCGCTTGCAGGCATCATTTCCCTGCCGTAGGAAGTTGTGAAGGGATCGATGACGAGCTAAGGAAGCCAAGGTATCTGGTTGCAAGGAGGAGAGCGAAGCTCTTGGGCGGTTTGGTGGAAGTCGACATGAAATAAGACGTGGAATGCGGCAGGTCGGATTTTTCTTGGGCCACAATCACGTCAAGTTTCAGCAAATGGGACATCGAAACTAGAGTGCTCAAGGGATATCTCAAGACATGAGAGCTCGAACCCACAGAAGCCCCAAACTGCTGATTCAGGCCCTGGATGCTTCAGGATCTTTGGTGGATGTTTCTGGTCATTGTCATGCTCATGGTGAAGCCGATGATGATGAAGACGAGGATCGTGATGATATGACGATGATTCGACGATGATGGTGATGGAGATGGCGATGACGATGACGCAGATGGTGACGGTGGTTACTGTCGCGATGGTGACTGTCTCAGTCATGTCGGCGGTGATGTGATGGTGATGCCAAGGCTCGGGACAAGCATGATGATCACTGATTATAGCGATGGGGCTGGTGCTCCTGATGGTGGTGGTGGTGGTGGTGGTGGTGGTCCTGTGGCTGCAGGCCCGCCAGCTGAACTCGAACGCCATCGACACGGCACACATACTGTTGGTGACGCAGCCGAACGTTTCCGGGCTTCCCGGGCGTGCCTAGAGCTTATAGGGACTCATGCGGCTTTGGGTGTCAATCTGGAATGCATGGGGTGTTGTGGATCAGGTTGAATGTGAGGTTCGGCTTGAGAACCTCACTTTCGATTTCGGGTTCAGGGTTGATAGAGAGACCACTGTAGACACGAGAAGGTAGTTTAAACGCTGACATTCAAGCGCAGGGAGCAATGTGAGCGCCTGCCTGCCTGCCTGCCTGACTGCCTGCCTGCATTCCTGTGTGTCTGCCTCGGCCTCTGCCACTGCTATGCCTCTGCAGCCTCTGCCTCTGCCATAGTCATCGCATAATGCATACAGTACGGCATAAGAGAAACAGTTTCCGGCATCATGGAAGCGCTGGTCGCATGGTGAGTAGTCCTAAGAGTAACCATGCAACTGCCAGTCAAGCAACCAAAGCCATGTCGCGCTATTCCCCAAGTGCCGAGCCCGAAGCCGCGCGCGCGCTGCCAGGCGCTCTGCAAAGATGCCAGTGGCAAGACGCAGAAGGCTTCCCGGACGTTACAGCGGTGCATCCGAACTCCGGGTGTGACCGAAATCCTAAGTAGCTACTTCTCGGGTTTGGAGGTGTGGAAACTCTGAAACCCTGGCCTCAAGTCCAAGCATTGATTGCATGTTCAACCCATTGGAGTGATCGAGGGCCTCAGTGTAGTGTGGTTGGATGCAGGGCTTTACGGATTGTTGAGAAAGGGATGCAGCACCTGAAACTTGCATTGGGGGTTGGCAAGAAGCCCACGGACCAGCCTGCCTTCAGAGTCTGGCATTGGGGTCCGGGGTGCAAACAACATGACCAACTCCTTTGCGAGTTCCAGATTTTAGAGGTCCTCGCGCTGCCCGCAGTGGTTGGGGCTTCAGATCACCAGGCTGCCCTAACCCAACCCAACCCCAACTGCATGTAAGCCAGCGCTCGCCAGTGCCTGCAGAAGTTGGGAGTGGATCCGCCTCCTGGCTTCATTGGCTCTTTTCCGGTGTCAGTCTCCCGGTTTGAGGTTCATCACGTGAATCCTGCACTGAAGGAAGCCCAGAGTTTCAATCTCAGGATCTGAGATGTCTGACTTAAGCTGTCAGATTTGGTGCAATCTAGGATTCAGCATGGACGGTTCTTTCGGTAAAAGCCCTACAAGCTCCCACGTAGCATGGCTGATGTGGGGCTTCAAGTTGAGACCCGCAGAACAGACCGCAGGCGCATGAATCCGTAACCTTACAACCCGAATCGTAGGATTACAAAATCATGGCAAGTTGTGCGCACCAGGAACTTACAACATCATGATATGTTGAACTTCTATTGCCTTGCCTCTCTGTGCTTGTTGTGATGGTGTTCCTAATTGCAGCATGTGTTGTGTTGGTGCTGTCGGGTACCTGTGTCTGTCGTCTTGGCAGCTGGGGCGTTTGTCCTGCTTTTGGCCTGAGTGACGATGGCCATGTCTCGCTGCAGGCTTGTTTAGCAAGTGTCTTTCCCATCTCACGCCCCTGGGCTTTGGACTTTGCGCTTGCCGACTTACCCAGTCCTCTGCATCATGTCGCCCTGGCCTAAGCTCTGAAGTCATGTCCCTCTCTGTTTCCCGGTCAGGGTCTCAGAGACAGCAACATGTGCGTGACCTACTAGCGAAGTGTGCCTCCAGGGAGAAGATCCCAGAAGAAATCGTGAAGGAGCTGCAAGACAAGGACTTCCCTCCCCTCTCCCGCGGGCAACTTCTGAACCCCAAGGGATCCTTTTGGGAGGCTTCGAGTCTTGGAGTTTGGGGTTCAGAGCCTGCGGGTCCTTGTCCTTCGGCCTGCTTCTGGCAGGTGAGGGGGAGTGCCCGGTCCTATAGGTACGGCTTGTTTTTTTTGGAGGCAGCAGGGGTGGGTTTGAAGTGCAGAGGTGAGAGCATGTCGATAATTGACTTGGTTCGGGCTTCGGCACCTTTAAAACGCATAGACCTAAGCGTAAACCCTGAAACCCCCCAAACTCCTGGGTCCTCGCTAGGGCGTGGAGGCCTGACTCCTCGAAATCCCTTTGGTTTCTGGGTCCCTACAAGTTCCCAGGTTTCAGATTTCGGTTCAGGAACCTAGGTCCTCAAACTCTGAAAATCAAAGCCCCCGGCCTTTCTGAGCTTCCACCCGAAGGATTCAGGTTTCACGCTTTTAAGGAGCACCCACCAGCCGTCAGGACGAGAAGGAGCCTGCGGCACAGATGAAGAGCGGTGCAGGCGTACACTTGACACTGTGCGCTGGATGGGTCGTCTTGGATGGGTCTTTTTTGTCAGGGATCTTATATTCGAGCATGGTGATAATGAAGGGGCTGGAAGTTCCTGATGCTGCAGCCTCCACTCTACGAGTCTACGAGGTGGAAAGAACCAGACTCTGGAAGAGTTCGGCCGTGACCTGACCAAGGCATGCTGAGTACTGCTGCAGGATGCTGTCCTCGTCCCACTTGTTGTGCACCTGAAAGCAATGCGCAGGCCGCTGCAGAAGGGATGATGGATCCGCCACTTGGTGCAGCTCCATTACACACATGTCCAGTGGCCTTTTCACCACCCAACTCGCAAGATTGAATAGCTCCCACAGGCAAGCTAACAGAAGCCGCGTACAACCCTGGCAATTCCAGCCCAGTTTCGATTCTTGAATCGAAGCAAAGCAGTCTTAACACCAGAGCACGGAATCCTTCGGTTTGCAGTTGCGGCGAAATCGCAAAGCAACGTAATTGTCTGTTTTCTTGTCAGAGCGGCCGCTCAACCGTGCGATAGCTCGATCTTATTTGGCTGAAGACTTTCATAATCACTGAATATTTCATGTGGGGTTTCAGAAGAAACTTAAATCGAAATGGTACCAGGTCTTGTACTGGAGCTAACGAAAGCTTTCTTGAATTCCGGACCAGTTAATCTGATTGCATCTTGAAATTAAATAAACCTTGTGTTGACACGCATTGATTCGAGATGATTGGTCAACGAAGAGTGGGACTAAAAGGCATGCGTGCCAAGACAAAAATTGAGATGATTTTTCAATGAAGAACGGTGTGATCAGATCATATGTCGCGCTGCTTTCCAGCATGGCTCAGTCGCACGTGTGCATAAGCTTGAGAGTCCGTGAAACACACAGGCATGGGACATTGTGCGCTGCACACGGCCTTGCTGTAAATCTGTGTGCCCGCCCTCCCTCCCTTTCCCTCCCTTTCGTCCCGTTCTTTCCGGGGCTCATGTCTTACGTTTTTGCTTGTGGGGGGAGGTTATTGATGTTCGGGGCGCTCGGTGGTATGTGCAGCTGAGCATAATGCGAATCTAACCGCAATCGCTCAGTGCTTTCGCCACAAGCTCGCTAGCTCGAGCATGGCAAACTTGTGCCATGGAATGTGAAACATTCATCCGAAAGTTGCCCTGCTGTGATGAATGAACCCTGACCGGTCGCTTCGCGCACAAGTGGGGGAGATGCATTTGGGCTTTGCGGAGTGCTTCGCCCGGCAGCCAAGGCTCGTGGGCCGCGAGGCGGAGATCGAACGAACTGTACAGGCCGCTTCTTGTGACTGTGCGCTCCTTCATGTCGCAGGTCTACGACCCGAAGGAACCGTGTCAACTCATGCATCAAGTATCGATTGAGCGGTTTTGCTGCGTTTGGGGTAAAGGCTGCCGATCATCGCCTTCTCCGGGGGTTCAGTAACATTGCGCGATGGGTCGCAAACACAGCACTCAGTCTCGTCGTGGATGCAGGCTTTGGGATGTTTCGGCAGCGGTTTTCACACGCACTCCGCACTCACGGTTAGGACATGTCGGCTTCCAGAAAGTCAAGCATGTATGCTTGACCTATGTACAAACGCTCAAGTAAAGTGACTGCTCCCAGCAGTTGCGGGGACTGGAAGGCGAAGAAGGCTCCGATCATTCATGCCATGTCTGAGACACGTCTTTGGAAGGCGATCCTAAGTTGATCCCGTCCTCTCTCAAGACATGAGAGGAAGAGAGATCGGTCTTGTCAGCTGAAGCTCGATTGTAGCAGTGTAGCCTCGAGGCCCCATGCCCCACCCACACTACAAGACCACTTATAACGGCAGCACCCAAGTACGTTACTCCTTTGGGCCGAGTATACTTCGAATGCAAAGGCTGCTAGTCTTCCCAAGAAGCTTGAGCTGTAAACGCATGTGAAAGCTCTCGGGCCGAGAGCTCCCTCGGAAGCGAAGACACCGCGGCTGGCAGATCCTGGCGCGTCGCCAGAAGAACAACCCCGTACTCATCGGCGAGCCCGGCGTTGGTAAAACGGTGGGTGGCCCCAGCATAGGGTGCCCAAGGCCAGGTCCCAAAGTCACTTTGGCACCTGGGTGTCGGCGGATCTCGTGGTTGGAAAGCGGTCAACGCCCATAAACCCGTGTGCGCAAAATTGCTGATTACCCGAAACCTTGAAAGCGAAACTCTAGCCAACCTGCTGAACTCCTTGAATCCTAAACCGTCACCTTCAGCCAACGCATCTTCGATTCCAGGAGCGGCTAGCATTGCAGCTTCTTAGCTCTCGCATTGTTGCGGTATCTCCAATCCAGCGATTCGCTCCCGGGAGTGATCTCTCAAGCCAACGCCCTGAAGCCTTCCTCTGTGTCAGCCGGAGAACCTCAAAGGCTAAGATCCTGAGAAGCTTCCGACATCCCCAGGCCATTGCCGAGGGCCTGGCCTACAAAATCGCGACCTCTGATGTGCCGGAGATGTTGGTTGGGCCCGGGGCTACAGAACGGTGTGGGGTTCGGGTTTGGCATCGTCAGTTCATCCTCGAGTCCAAAGCCCTTGAGATCAAACCCCGAACGTGGAGCTTTCAACTTCGAGGATGCAGTGAAACACTGAACCGGAAGCCCAACAGAAACACGGAACGTTCCACCCTCAAGCTTTGAGGCACATCCCTAAACCCTGAACCCTAAACCCGTAACCAGACAAGAGCGTCTAAAGCCAATAAGCTGAAGCCTGGAGCCCCGAGGAAGAAGATCGTCCAGCTGGACCTGGCAATGCTCCTTGCGGGCACCAAGTACCGAGGGGAGTTCGAGGACCCCGAAGCCAAGGGAGTTCGGCAGACGGTCCTAGGATGTCCGAGGCTTTGGGGATGTAGGGACTTACGGATAGGCTTCAGCTTTGCTTGTCAGGATATAAGGCGTGTAGCACTTGTGCCGTAGGCGTGTAGCACTTGTGCCGTCCGCCTCAAGGCCTCACTCCCTGACCTCCAGCTCCCTGCACTTTATGCCAGATCTTATTTATAAGAATATTTTATGGAGGGTACTTTCGTTTGGCGAAGATGCAGTGCATTGCGTCAAGCAGGGTTCGGCTTTGCAAGATCCAATCGCTGGAAAACTCCACTTTCTGTTCAAAGTTGAGGCAGCGTGGAAGGAACACTGGTGCTGTTGAGGGTTTCGGCTTCGGCCGGTTAAGACATTTCTTAAGGCCTAAAGTAGAGACCCGACAAGCAAAGTAAGAGCGCTGTTCTCAAGCAGCCGTTGTCGTCGTCATCTGACTACAGCAGCATTATATGCGCAGACACAGACCCCAAAGTTGATGTTTTCCGATAACCGGGTAGTACTTGCCGGCATTGTTGCAGCTTGTGGTATGGTCAGTTGTGGAGCCTACCCGCAGCCGGTACCCCTTCAGCGTCCGAGTCCGTCAGGAGCGCTTGAAGAACGTGATCAAGGAGGCCAGCGCTGAGAGTGTTGCTTTACAGCCTGTATATTGCCATAGCCTGTATAGCTATAGCTATACTAGTAGCTACCTCACCCTAAAAACCCCAGCGCCGAATGCTAGAGGCTGAGCGAAATGCGACGCACGAAATGCAAGGGTGCATGCGAGTCGCGCGGAACGGCGAGAACAGGAACTGGTATTGGGACAGCCCTTGAGCAGGGCTTTCCCCCGGTGTCGACACCCTGAGTTTCTGAAGGTCTTGGACTCGGAGAAGAGCATCATCCTCATGATCGACGAGATCCACACGTTGGTCGGAGCGGGCGGGACCGGCGATGGAGGCCACGATGCATGTACTTACTGACTTACTGTGTCGAGCCTCCGGTTGGCCCTTCTGGCACCAGGGCTTAGGATCTCGTGAACCTTCGGTGGACGGGAGGTGCAGTGGAAAGCAGACCCGAAGTTCTGGATTTTGGTACAGCGCAGACTTAGCCTTGAGGGTTTTGGAAACTAAAGAAGGATCTGTGGCGAGGGCAGCGGTTCCTGAAGCATTCTTTGAGACATCCTTGTTTGATGGGGGGGTACTAGAATAGTTCAACTCCAGGGTCGGCGGTTCAAGCTTTTGCATAGGTGTGAAGTTCAGCCTGCGGGTGTATCTTCACGGCATCGCATACCTCTTATACCCAAACCCAAGGCTGGCGGATAGGTCTTGGAGGTTCGAAAAGGGCTCTAAAGCAAAAGTCTACGTGACCTTCCTCCGAGATTCCCCAGCTTTCAAGGTGGTGGCGGCGCCATCGATGCGGCGAACATCATGAAGCCGGCCTTGTCTCGTGGTGAGCTCCAGGTGGGCAGACGGGGTCGGCGTGGGGGTCCGAGAGAAGCGAGGCACTCGGTGATTAGTTAGAGGAGGGTTACTTGGTGTGAAGCATGTTTTCCACGCCTGGAAGTTGCAAAAGGTGCTTTTGCAAATGCCGTAGGCAGGATCTTGTCGAGCGGCACTGGATCGTCTTTGGAAACTTGGTATGATGTAATGGAAGTGACGTTCCTCTTCAGGCAACACAAGGATGAGGTCGCTCGCAGGGACATTGGGTTGTGTTCTATCGCTGGCAAATATGCAACAACCAAAAGTCAAACTCCAGACGCTGAGCCCGGTGGTCTCGTTGACGGGGGATGAGAGGATGCACCGGGGCGGAACTGCGGGTAGGATAACCGCACCAGTGCACTCGTGCCTAGTTGAAGACCAAGAAGGATCATCTCTAATTTACAGCCCCTGAATAGCAAGATCAGGTAAAAAGCGCCTGCAGTCTTACAGCAGGTGATTGGAGCAACCACCAACGAGGAGTACCGGAAGTACGTAGAGAAGGACAAGGCCTGCGAACTTGCGGGGGTACGGCTTTCAAGGTTGGGAATTGTTGCATTTAATTTGGGGATCTGGTCTGAGTAGGCCTAGAGCTTAGGGCTTTCGATTGTAGCGAGTTGAGTTCTGTCCTCCCTACCCGTCGTCGTCGTCGTCGGCGGTGTCGTTGTCCTCAGCAGAATAGCAAAGCGATCACATCGACAGCTGACAATATACAGGCCTCAAGAACCATGATGGCAATTATGCTAATACCAACGGCATGATCGCAACAAGCCGGGAGAAACATAACGATACAACACATAGAACCATAGTTAACAGCATGCTCATGCACTAGTAGAAGATCAGCGCTACCAGAGCGAACTATTGACAATGCTAAAGGTACACAGTAGTGACATAATTCCGTTCAATCAACTTTTGGCCATCTAAGCAGCATCTCAACGTATTGGCACGACCATGGAACAAAACACACACATCACAAGACCACATCAGGATCATGTAGTTTCATAGTGGCATCAATGGAAAATGGTTTTGAGATAATCAGCAGCACACTCAGTAAATGCGCACGAGCATTCTCATCCATGCAAGGCCCTGGAGCGACGCTTTCAGCCGGTGAAGGTCAGAAGCTCGGGGGTTCGGGGAGAGATTGCTCGACACTGGCCTGGGGCTGCCGTGGGGGAGAGGCTTGAAACTCCTTTTCGGTAGGGTCAGGGCCCTGAAGATCTTCGAGCTTCGGACATGCGGACCTGGACGAGACGCCGGTCAAGATTCGTGGTGCAAGTCATCGATATGTTACATGATATGCACCTTGTTCAAACGATGCTGCTATCATTGCAGGCATGCTATCATTGCAGGCATGCTCAGCCAGAACTCGCTCCTCTCCGCCTCGCCTAGCGCCCCGTGCCTTCCGAAGCAAGAGCTATGGCAGCCACCGACAGCCAGATCTGTTCCCGATGCAACGGACAGGGCCACCGTGCGGCCCAATGTCCCAAGATGCCGCACCCTGTTCTTGCGTTCAGTATATTGGTTGGTCTATTTTGTGCGATAGGCACAGTAGCAGTGTGTTTCCTGAGTCCTTGGCTGGATTGTGCAACCAATGAGCAAGGTTCTACCGTACTTGCGAGTACTGCAAGGTGGTGGGGCATTCAGCAAAGGCCTGCCCTAAACTGCAGCGCCGGGCTTTGGAGAAGGCCACCCAGCAGAAGGCGGTCAAGAATCAGACCAGCGACACGTGGAGCGAGTCCGGAACAAGCACCACAGCTTCGGGTGATTCTTGGACATCTGGGGCTTG